CTCTCAGGTAGATAGATTCATGTGTTTGTGCTCTGAGGTTTCTGATGTTTTGTGATGTGTTTGTCTGGTGATAGTATGGGTCTGTCTTGAATAAATGCTGATTATTGTGACGCTGTTATCTCTGTGTGATCTCAGTCTTTGTGCACAGCATTTTTCTGAACCCGGGCATAGAGAGGATTTAACGAGTCAAAAGGTTTTTAAAGTTCAAGAATTTTTCCTCTCAACACTACAAATCAGTTTTATACATCAGCATTTGAAACTATAACCACGTGGTTGACTATCAGGCCAGAAGTTCATGGCCTGATTGTCAACCCAGGAAAACACCAATTTGGCCAACAAGGCAGACTTTTTGAACCATCAATCCGAAACTTTATTTGTGAATGATTCTCCTGAAATAAGCAACTACGAGTGAAAAGTAAATAAAAATACTGGCTTAAAAAGACAGAAACTTGGGAGAAATGAGAGAAATGACTTAAGAAGCAGAAACTTTTACATGGGTCCCAACCCACTACTAAACAGAAAAAAGACAAAGACCATCATTAGTATGAAAAAACTTTATTATCTAAGAATTATACAGAAAGTTTGTGATAGTCACATTTCTATCTGAAATTGAATCTGCATCATCAATACATTTTCTAATATCCTAAAAAACAAAAACCTTCTCAAAGAGTGTTAGATTCTTTTTAAAAAATCACACAGGTAAAAATAGTTTCAGTTTAGAGTAAAATTAACAAAGTCAATGCAGGTGTTTTAACAAAAAATGAACACATCCCAGGCATCATAACTTAGAAAAAAACTCTGCAACATCTGAATTGTTGCCATCATACAATCAACAGAGATGGGGGGCTAGCGTACCGTTGAGTGTTGGAGAGGACAGACGGACAGCAGAAGGAAGAGGAGGTCTGACTGTATGCTAAAGTTACAGATGTTTAAAGATTATTTATCAGGTGTTGTCCAAGAAACTCAGGGAAAGTAATAAAAAAGTACATTTAGATTCAAATTAGAATAAAAAAATTGAAAGTAAATCAGAGATCATACAATACTATTTTGTCATTTTGACTGACAGCATTTAAAAAGTCCTTCTGTTTTTACCTGTCAAATTATAATTACGTTGACATCGGCTATTCAGCTGCATTTTTAGTTACGTCTGGGTATAACCTCAAATGACAGAGGGGCCTAAAACCTGTCTAAAACCCCTTAAGCCAAACAAGAATGCCAGCGTGCCGTTTTTCCATTTTTTTTCCCTGAGGTGAGATTTACAGGTTTCAACTCTGCCAGTGTCCATTGTAACGCTTTTATTGGGGAGCCTAGAGCCCCCCTTTTGATTGACGCCGCATTTGACCAATGATGTTATGAAATGGCTTTTTCAGAGCCAATAATATCCAGAGAGCGACTTGAGCTCGTTTTGACATGGCTGTATTATTGCTGGAATATTTCTGTCTGGTCAAGTTGGAGACTAAATCTAAAGCCACCGAGGCGTGCGTTCGAAGGAGAGATGGGGGGCTAGTGTACCGTTGAGTGTTGGAGAGGACAGACGGACAGCGTATTGCAAGAAGGAAGAGGAGGTCTGACTGTATGCTACAGTTACAGACATTTAAAGATTATATGTCAGGTGTTGTCCACGTGTGCCAAATGGAGACGCCAAAATGATATTTCTTTTTTGTGCTATTTTGATCCGTCTTCAAATTCACAAGCAGAATTGTATTGTATTTTACTGTCAACATTCAACATTCAATTTGCATTTACAAGAAATAAAAATGAAAAATCTGGGTGAAGCAATATTTTTAATTTTTTTGTGTTATAAACGTAATAGCTACAAACTACTTACAGTTAAAGTATTTTTAACTGCAAAAAAAATTGCTTATAGTCTTCATAAAGAGACAGTTTTTGTATATACTCCAAATGGTTCTATAACAGCAGCTGATTTAATTTGCGTACACCATTATGGATTTTTGGTGATTTAGAAGGTGAGGGTTAAAAGGTTAAAAGCAAAAAAAAGACAAAAATTGGTGAAATATGGAAAATATTCCAGCAAAACAACCCCTGATCTAAATATATATCCCTCACCAGTTCATATAGTAACAACTAACATGCTTTACTCTAACCAAAACTAAATAAAACAAAGTAGAAAGAATAGACATACAATGACTCCAAGTTTTACAAATCTAAATCTGAAAACATTCAAATCCATTGTTACTTCCAAAGACAGATCATTATCTCACTAGAAAGAAAAACATTAAAATGCATGCATAACGTCATAAGACTTTATATCTCATTTAACCATTTAAAATGAAAAGATACAACAGACAGAATAAAGTGAAAGTTTTGTGTTTTAGATAAATTTGAATTCTAAATGCCTTCTTCTCCAAGCTGCTACATTATAGAAATGTTACTCAGCTGTAATTAATCTGCTTCCAAACTGTGAGATATTGTGTTTTGGTACTTGAGGGTCTGATTATGCTGCTCATCCTGTATGAGTCTTCATGTGTGTAGTTAAACTGCTCTGATGACTGAAGCCTTTTCCACAGCTCCCACATGAGAAAGGCTTCACCTTTGAATGTGTATATGTGTGGGCAATTAAACCTGTTTTGACTTTGTAACTTTTTCCACAAGTTCTACATGAGAAAGGTTTCTCATCTGTATGAATCCTCATGTGACTAGTTAAATTACCTTTTTGACGGAACCTTTTTCCACAGGTCCCACAAGAGTAAGGCTTCTCATCTGTATGGATCCTCATGTGACGATCTAAACTGCTGTATCTGAACCTTTTCCCACATCTTACACATTTGAAAGGCTTCTCACCTGTATGAATTCTCATGTGAACAACTAAACAAGATTTGGCTATAAAACCTTTTCCACAACTGCGACATAAGACAGTTTTCCGAGCTCTGTGAATTGCCATGTGACTATTTAATAGTGGTTTCCTGGCAAACCTTTTTTTACAGTACGTACATGAGAAAGGCCTCTCTCCTGTGTGAGTCGTCATGTGAACAGTTAAATTACTTTTTTGTCTGAACCTTTTCCCACAGGTCCCACAAAAGTAAGGCCTGTCACCTGTGTGACATCTCATGTGATTAATTACACTTGATTTCATATGGAAGCTTTTTCCACAAGTAAAACATGAGAAAGGCCTCTCTCCTGTATGAACCTTCATGTGAACAACTAACTGAGATTTTCTTATAAAACCTTTTGTACAGATCACACATGAAAAAAGATTCTCTCCTGTGTGATACTTCATGTGATCAACTAACTGAAATCTGCATATGAAACTTTTCCCACAGGTCACACATGAGAAAGGCTTTTCACCTGTGTGAATTTTCATGTGACGAAGTAAATGATATTTGTCTCTGAAACTTTTTCCACAGTTCACGCATGAAGAACGTTTTTCACCTGTGTGAATTTTCATGTGACGAAGTGACTGATATTTGTCTCTGAAACTTTTTCCACAGTGCACACATGAGAAAGTCTTCTCTCCTGTGTGAATCGTCATGTGACGAAGTAACTCAGATTTGAATCGGAAACGTTTTCCACAGGTTAAACATATGACAGGCTTACCTGTGTGAATCATCATGTGACAACGTAACTCAGATTTAGTTTTGAAAGTTTTTCCACAAGTCTCACAGGAGATAGGCCTCTCACCTGTGTGAGTCTTCATATGACAAACTAAGCTTGATTTGGCTTTGAAACTTTTTCCACAAGTCTCACATGAGAAAGGCCTCTCACCTGTGTGAATCTTCATGTGTTCAAGTAAGTTTGATTTTCTTCTGAAACTTTTTCCACAAGTCTCACAGGAGATAGGCCTCTCACCTGTGTGAATCTTCATGTGTTCAAGTAAATGAGATTTGGTTTTGAAACTTTTTCCACAAGTCTCACATGAGAAAGGCTTCTCGCCTGTGTGAATCTTGATATGACGAAGTAAGCTTGATTTGGTTTTGAAACTTTTTCCACAAGTCTCACATGAGAAAGGCCTCTCACCTGTGTGAATCTTCATGTGTTCAAGTAAATTTGATTTGAATCGGAAGCTTTTTCCACAAGCTGAACATGTGAACAGTTTCTTGTCAGTGTGAGTTCTCATGTGTGTTGTCAAGGAACCGCTTTGAGAAAAGGCTTTATCACAGATTTTACAAGAATATTGTTTTTGGCCTGGATGAGCTGTCTTGTGTGTTTTCTGTTTTGAACTCTCAGTTTTACGTTTCTGCTGTTTGGTTCTCCGATATCTCTGCCGTTTTTGTTTTTCATCTCTCTTTTTTTCTGAGTCCTCAGATTTGCTTCCTTCCTGATCCTGATTCTCATCTTCAGAAGAACCTGAAGAGATGAGTTTGTTCCTATGTGGTTCTGTTTCTTTGCGAATTCTCTGCACAGTAGAAGGATTCACCAAAGTGTCACCAGTCTCCAGTTTCAGCACAAGCTGCTCTTCATCCTGACTGATGCAGATTTGCTTCTCTTTGAGCTGTTGATGTTCTGGTTCCTTTTGTTCTAAAGTGGAGCTCCCCTCCGGGTTGCTGAGCTCATTGAGAACTCTGTCCTCTTTACACACGCAGCATTGATGGAGATCTGGACAAAAACACAAAACAAAAGCTTTTCATTTTGAGTCAAATAATCAACATTTAACTTTAATCCCTTGCTGCATCTATGCAGTTTTTTTTTTTGGATTACAGCAAATCCTTGTTTTTTGCATTCCGAGAAAAACCTGTGATAGGTGAAATCCATGAAGTAGTTACGTTTATATTTTACAATTGTTATACAGCATAATTAAATTCTCTACATTAAAACCAAAGAAAATCCTAAAAATTAGCTTTTTATTTTTCCTTAGAAAAAAGAAAAAGAACTGCACATGTCTCTATTGTCATGAGCGTATCATTATTCCTAAAAGATGAGTTTATAGTTGATGCATGTAAACTTGCTTATTGGCGCACCTCCACTCCTGCTATTAGTAACTTC